TTATAGGCTGTTGGTACACATGAGTAAGCATTTGCCCTAACAAATATATGACTCAATTATGTCAAATGCTTACTTATATGAAGTGCTTTTTTTGGAAGAAAAAAAAAAAGGTGCCAGAACTCACAAACGTCATACAACCCGTCTTGCCTACCCTACAAGGTTCCATCCAAAAAAGGTGCTGGAACTCCGTTCTGAGCATTCTATGACAAAAAAAGCCCTGCTTATATGTGCATATGCACTATTAAAGATATAGAAATTATGGGACAGAACAATGGTTGTACCTCATTTCCCTTTCCAGATCTTCAATTGTGGGCATAGCTGGATATCTGAACAGCATTTCCTTATCCCTTATGTTTATATTTACACACCAATTCTCTCTCTTTTTCAAAGCTTTTATACAATCAGTTTGCAGAAATTTTGAGAGAGAACACAGGTTTCCAAGATATCCTACCCCCAACCTGGTGTTATCTTGGCTTACTAGCAGGTCACTGTGTTCCTTTAGGAACTGTGAGAACTGTGAGCATGAGATAAGATTATCTACTCTCAGCTTTTTTCCTGATGGCTAGCTGTGGGCTGAGAACCTAAGATAGCTCTGTTCTTGCTAGTAGTTGTTGTTGACATTTCAATTTCTCTTCTCCCCTTGAACATGTGAGCAAATTGGAGACTGACATTGCTTGTCTCATGATAAGTAATCATGAAACTAGAGCTTTCCAAATGCCTTTGACTAGAGTACTTCTTGGAAACCACAAATGCTATGACAAAAAGAACTTCATCAGCAAAATCTCATTGTTTTCACCTATATTTTTGTATAAGTCTACATAGTAGCTACTTTAAGTAGCTACTTTAAGTAGCTACTTAAAAGCAAGCTGAGTAAGCCTGGGAATAAAATAAGCTTTTCTCAGATTTGGACTTAATTTTCTTATTGGACACCTTAACAGAAATATGCTCTCCCTGTTAGCCAGTAATAAACTCCCGTCTTGAGGCTACATAATCAGATTTAATAAATCACAACCTCATTCTCAAATATAAAAATGTTGGCTTCATTGCGGATGATCTTTATACATCAATAAATTAACTAATAAATAGTTTCTTCTGTTTTTTGTTGGTCGAAGAATCTGTGAATCTTGATAGGATGAAAACAGTTTTTATAATTTGATCTTTCCAAAACGAAGGATTTATAAACATTTTATTACTACCATTGCTTTGGGAAGTCCTTATTGTTAGTGTCAAGAGTCAAACTGCAGATTTGACAGCTCCCTAACATATTATTGCACAATATAAGGTTGTAGAAAGGCCTCCATAATTGTCTCTTTTTTCTTGATTTCCATTTGTTTAAAAAAAAATTGCCTAAGGAAAAGTTTATGAAACTTAAATCTGCAATTATTGTTTACAACTTCAGTTCACTAATACAGTAAAAATATTCCCCCCTCTTATCTATCCATCTGTCTGTCTGTCTCTGTCTGTCTATCTGTCTAACTATCTAACTAACTATCTCTATTTATCTATTTATCTATCTATCATAACTAACAGAGCTGCTATTGTTCTTATACTTTATAATAAACATTAGAGAATCCACAGGTTGGTCACAGGTAAATATATTTTTAGTAGACATGTTAAAAATCAGTGATTTGATTCTGGAACATGACTGGCCACTTCCTGTTCTGGATAAAGGCAGAAGCCAATTCTTAGAATGTGTAGAATGGGCTGTTCTAGGTGAAGGCACTCCCAGAATCAGATTAGGCACATGTCTGTCTTTTAGGCAGCTTCCAGGCAATGACTCACAAATTCCAAAGGCTCTTTGGAAGCATCTGAGGCAATCAATTGTATGTTAAGATGGTAAATAAGTAATTTAATATTAATATTTACAGACAGGATATCAACTTTTAAATCATACTACATTAGATACCAGAAATGAGTGCTTCTAGGAATTCCTAGTTCTGTTTTCTAATTGTTGATTGGGAGCCATCAAGAGTTTGATCAAAGATGGGCAATTATATAAATGTTTCAAATAAACAAACTGTAGAGTCCTTGGTACTCTCTGGGCTTGGTTGTTTTCTTGCAAATGTGGCAACATCAGACTTGTTTGTCATCAAACAAACTGCATTTCTTTCCCTGTTGCATGTGAAATGAGCAACCTACCTAGTTGCTTAGAATATTTGTTTCAATAATTAATATGTTTGCAATCTAGATGTTACTGTAATATTCATATTGCATTTGTGCTAATTAGCACATATGTGCTAGTTACTCCTTCCCCATGTTAATATCTTTTTTAAAATTGGCATCCTTCTCTGGTACCAAAATATAAGGCTCACAAGAAACTCTGAAGCCAGTTCTAACTTTGTTCTTCAATAACCTTTATAATAATTTACAATTTACAATAATTATATTGTGGAAAAAAGGAAGATCCAGCATTTAATACTTGCATTAACCGAATAACTTGGCTAGCATTCATTCAGTTAAATGCTTGAATGTATTTAAGATTTCAAATTTATTTTAATCTCACTACTTTGGCTATAAATATTGTGCTGGCTAATGCTAATTGCATCTCACCCAGCCCCCCCCCCCTTTTAAGATAGCTTCTTGCAAAAATATTCTATTCACGTGATGCTTTGGGAGTAAACAAGCCACCTACAAGTCCTTAACATTGGCTTGTTGGTCATGAGTTAAGGTGATGGCATTGTTTTGTTTCCTGGAAATGAAACTGTTCTTGCATGTGAACAAGTGGAATAATATCTGACACTGAGCAAAGTTAATAAGTTATCTTCACTGCTGTTAATAATGAAATTTCATGTAAACATAGCTTTGAGTTCTCTGCTTTCTATCAGCTCTCCCAGGAAATAAGGTAACCAGAGTCCCTTTATTATAGGTGATAATTTTGTTTTGTTAGCATTGGCCTTTCTGTACTTCCCAGGCCTCTGCCTAGTCTACAGTATTGTGCTATCCTCTTAGTAGAATCTTAATACCTCTAAAAACTAGCTTAACCAGAAATATGTTTTGCAACAAAACAGAAAATAGAAGTCATTTTTACTGTGTAGCTCATTGACAATGACATTCCTCGTCCTGGTTCAGGGGGCTGAGTCAAATATCACCTATGAAATATACACAAATATATATGTGATTTAGGAATTTTAACAAATAAATAAGCTTCAAGAGCTGAAAATGAATTTGGTCAAAATAAGTTAGTGTTCCTTTTTTGCAGAATTAGAAATCCTTAGAGATCTGCTGGAAAGAATTCAATAGATCTGAGATAGTAGATCATATCTTACTTTCTGCTTACTTATGAGGTATAAGACTGAAAGATAGGAAAATTAAGAACAAGACTATCTTTGGGTATTGTGGTCCACAAACCCTCCAGAAGGGACAAGATTGAAAATAGTGCATTTTTATTGTTTGCTTGATTCATTTTTCAAGACTTACAGAATAGTATAGTACCCATAGCATCCTTTTAAATAAGGCAAAACAAAAACTAAAAAAAAATGGGCCAGTTCCTGTGTTTTGTGCTGATAGAAGCTGCTTAGAAAGCTCTCTTTTTGAAACAAGACAGGCTGCATAATCCTTAAAATACATAATCTGATATTAAAATTATTGCTGCTCAAGTAAATATCTGTACAGAATGCAGGCCCTAATTCAATTTACATTGCACAATGTCAGATACTTCAGGTATTATTGCAGAATTTGTTTCTACTTTTCTTGGTAGATTAAAAGGTATTGGGTACATTGTATACAAGGTACAGATCGAGTGGCCTAGTGGTGAAGACACTTGCCCTCCCACTTATGAGATTGAGAGTTCAATCCTAGGTAGTTGCAGATGTTTCTCTCCCAGGGCACAAAGAAAAAAACATTTGCTGTGAACTCTGCATAGATGTTAGGAAGGGCATCTGGCTAGTAAACGCTCAGCTCCATCTAGTCTCCCTGACTTCCCAGAATTAAGGAATTACAGGGTCATAAAAAGGAAGTTGTTTTTTATTGTGAGGTGCAAACGGGGAGGGAATAATAAATTCACATCCTTGGTGAACAGTTCAAAAGGACCTGTATTCAGATGGCTTAAACCAGTGATGGCGAACCTTTTAGAAACTGAGTGCCCAAACTGCAACCCAAAACCCACTTATTTATCGCTGGGTGCCAGGTGGACGTGGCCCACTGGGTGGGCGTAGCTGTGATGGTCATGACAGATTGGGTGGGTGTGGCCAAGGTGGACGTGGTCACCTTATGTTGGTTGCAGGGAGGGACGCCTGTGAGGGCTGGGCAGAGTTGGAGATCCAGAGGGTCTCTGGCAGGTGGGGTAGTGGGCAGGAGGCTCGTCCTGCAGGGTGAGGCAAGGCGAGGCAGGGCAGGGGTGCCATTTTCACAGGGCAAGGCGAGGCAGGGGCCGGGGCGGCTGCTGCCTGACACCATTGGCCCCCACACACAGAGGCCAGCAAGCACATGGGGTGATAGTGGATAGAGGCACAGCCTGCCGGCCCCTCGACCAGCACACTCTGGGGCTCTGCAGCCCACCGCTAGCAGTTCAGAGAAGCCACCTCTGAGCTTGGCAGCCGGCCGACAGCTGAGGAGGCAATGCAGTGGGTTGTGCCCAGGAAAAGGAGCACATGCGGGAAGGATGGAACGGGAAACCAGCTGTGCTGGGATACAGCCGGCCACGTGGGACCTCAGCGAGTTAGCGGGTAGCTGGTTGAAGAGGGACAGTTGCCATCTCTGGGGCATGGCACGAGTGCCCACAGAGAGGGCTCTGAGTGCCGCCTCTGGCACGTGTGCCATAGGTTCGCCACCATTGGCTTAAACAATTGAACAATGATGTTATGGGAATATTAAATATTCTTCTTTATAAATATTACTATATTTGGATTGGTATGATTCATGATTTTTCTAGTTTAAAAAACTGCTTAGATTCACCATTCCCTCTTCCATAATTTTTTCTGAAGTTTACATAACTGTTCAATATACAGTAGGCTAGAAAATTATTTCAATTTCTTAAAATCATTTATGCTTCACTTTCACAGCGGATCGTTGTAAAGAGGTACAGCAGATCCGCGAACAGCATCCAAACAAAATTCCAGTAAGTAAAGAAGATTATCTATGCTTTTAAATCAATTTATATAAATCCATGAAACATAATAGGTGTCTTGTAGGTCATATGCCAGGATCATGAAACATTTTCCTGTTTTTTCCACGCTGAACAGTTGATTGTATATATTGCTAAGTTTAGGGAGTAGTTTTATAAAAGTTATTTTCTTTTTAACTGAGACTTTCTGCAAACTTGTTCAATCAGAGTCACAGTACAATTGAATTCAGGCTTTGGGGACAGAAGAATGTTACCCCTGCAAGTCCCTGAAATATCTTGTAGTGATTGGGATGGTGTCAAGCTGTGACATTTGTCTCCTCTTACCAAGACATATCTCATGCCAAGTTAAGAACGAAAAGGAAGATGTTGCTTTTGGCCAGTCTCCTAATGGGAGTAAGAGGTTTAGGCCAACTTTACTAACTCCTGTAATAAATCAACTCTTGTGATGATAGGGAGAAAAAAGCAAAGCTGCTATCTATTTATTACATGAGATGAACAGAAATGTTTGGCTCTCATAAGTTCTCTTGCATCATATTTAATTTTTCTTTTGAGTACATCCCTCCAAAAATTGTCTTTGGGACTGAACTTTTTACTGCATTATTATTCATATGTGAATATTCCATTGCTATAGTAATAACTGATTACGTGAAAGGAAATACAGTGTTTTGCTTATTACATTATGTTAATATATAAACATGCTGGAAAGCACTAGATCTGCATAGTAGAGGCTTGCCACTAATTATCCTCTTTTTTTTTTTCTTATTTTCCTTTATCCTTTTTAGGTAATCAAATTATTTAAGCTCCTCTTTCTTTTTTCACTAGTCATACCCCAAAAGGCAGAAAATTTCACAGGCAGGTTCTGCATTTTTTATTAATCAATAATTCAATTACGGGAATATTAATCAAAAACTTGGTCATATCAATATTGCACAGATATCATGTAGAATGTGAGTCAAAATAAGCATCCCAGATTCATTTCGGGGCAAAAAGGGAAAAAGAAATTAATTTAAAGAGATTGTCATCTGAATATTTAATTTTAATGCTATGCCTTAGTTTAAAATTGATGATGAAATAATTAAATGTAATGATGAACTTCTCTGTATCAATTGCATGTTGAATACAGCATTTGTGTTTCAGCCAATATATTAGATAGGTGGGCCTTTGTTAATAGTACAAATCCTTCCCCAAAAAATTGCTTGGGAATATACAGTAGCTCTTCTCTCAAATGGTTCAAATAACCCTCCCCCCCAGCTCTCACAAACTTCAGAAGCTGTTTCTGGTTGTCTTTGAAGTGCAGAGCTAAAGGGCTGTTCATGCTCATGCATGTACAGTAGAAATAGCTGGGAGCAATTCTGAAACAGCTGTGCCAGCTTAAAAAAAGATGCACCTGCTTTAACAATTCAAAAAGAGATACTGTTCAATCTGACAGCTGTCTTTCAAAAAATTTGTCAGCCTTATTGGACAAGTGGTAACTGGTTCATAAATTATTATAGAAGTATGCTTATTTATTTACTTACTTACTTATTTACTTACTTACTTACTTACTTACCTACCTATTTATTTATTCTAACCTTTATTATTTTTTATAAATAACCCATAGCTGCGAACACACCTAATGCCCCTTCCTCCTCTTATTTTCCCCAAACAACAGCCCTATGCCCCAAACAACAACCCTGTGAAGTGGATTGGGCTGAGAGAGAGTAACTGTCCCAAAGTCACCCATTTGGCTTTCATGTCTAAGCTGGGACTAGAACTCACAGTCTTACAGTTTCTAGTGCAGTGGTTCTCAAGCTTTTTAATGCCGCGACCCCCAACCAGTCGTACGTCGAGGACTACTCAACCGGTCGTAAGTCAAGGATTACTCGACTGGTGCAGCACCGTTTGCAGAATGGGACTTTTGGTGGGCTCAGCAGGGCAGAGACAGCCTGAACAATTCCTATTGGCTTTTGAAAGCCAATAGAATTAGACTCTATTCAAGAGAGTCTATTCTATTGGCTTTCAAAAGCCAATAGAATAAAAGGGAGTAGCACAGCTAAGGAAAAGGGGGGAAAATGGCAGACTGCGTTGTTTGGCGACCCCCGTGAAATGGTCATTCGACCCCAAATGGGGTCCCGACCCACAGGTTGAAAATCACTGTTCTAGTGTGATGTTTTAACCCCTAGAATTATTGGCTCTTTTCTTTATTTTTGCCACTCATTTTCAGTACACTGTTTATATGTTTTTTAATTTTAAATATATAAATATATGATTTAATTGTAAGCTGCTTTTAGTGTACCATGGGCAGTATACAGTGGTAGCTCAGTACCCATCGGTAATTTATTCTGGAAGAGACGACAAATACTAAAACTGATGAGTACCAAAAAAACCGTATGACCTACCATATGATCCACTGTTTTGGCCAGAAGAAATAGCGAGTTACGAGGCAGCCAATGTCAGCAAGTTCTTCCTTGCACATTGACTACCAGGAGAAAAATGAGTGGATAGGACAAGATTTCTGCTTCAAAATTCATTAAATACCGAAGTTGATGAGCTTGGAAGCAGTTGAATGCCAAGATATGACTGTACCAGTTAGGAAAAATAAAACAAAATAAAATCTCCAAACAACATGATTTATGTTCGGGCTGAATTGCAGATCATGGTCCGCATATCAGGCATTAGAGTTTACTGATTTAGCACTCGGTTTAACTGTTTTGAAATAGTTTTAATGCTTTACCTCTTTAAGTGATTTGAAACACATTAAGGAATCATAGGCTTTTCAAACATGTCTCTCTCACTATAACCCTTAGCATTCCTATCAACCTCTCCAATGCAAGATGAATAGGAAAAGCTAAATTTATGCCTTTGTTAAAATTTGAATTGCTCTGTCTGAATGCATCCCTGGAGCATCTACTTCACTACCTTACAACCAGCTGATAGAGCCAGCTTTATCCAATTTTTTTTCTTCCAATTTAGATAAAGAATACGTTATAAGCATAGGCAATGCTGGGGAGAGACAAGCAAGAGGGCAAGGAGGGGAAAATGACTTGCACAATGATACCATCATCTGATACTAAGAAGCTGACTTCCATGCAAAAAAGCAATGAAAATTTCTGGAAAACAAAATAGGTTAAGGCCCTCTAGTACTATTTGTAGGATTTTAGATCCTGATTCAAGAGCAGATATGCTGGTGTTAAACATTTATGAGAGAATTTAGGATGAGATCCTTTTCAGCAGCTGATCTATCATACGTTTGCTGTCTTTTCTGTCCAAGTGTCAGATGTCATATATCTGATACTGAATCCAAGAAACCTGCCAATTCACATGTGAATCAGATGTGAAAAACTTGGAGGAAAATAGGTGAAAGTTTTTCCTTCTTTTGATTAAAATATTAGTCAATTTGTGCCATTTTTATTAGTAATATTACTTCTACCAAGTAATAATAAACAAAGTAAATAAACTTCCGTCCTGGAGAAGGGAAAGGAGGTGAACACTGTTGGTATAATTCTAGTCCAGCTTTCTTGCTAGCAAATAGACTAAAGACTGGGAATTCATTTTTAAGATTTTCTGGATGCTAAACTTGATCTCAAATTCACAGTTCCAGAGGAGGTGACACCAAAGCTTCTGCTGTACTTTAATCTTCTTTAATGCCTGAAGTGATTCAGCACTATCATTTCTCTCTCCAAAGCTATTTTCTCCTTCTCTATATTCTCTATATAGCAAGTAGTTTCCCCACTTGCCAATTCTTTTGTTCTTGCGTGTCTCATGACCTAAATATAATATATGTTGGTGGATGGTTGATTTTAGAAGAATTACAGACATCTTATGCTGCCTAAAATGAGCAATGGGGAGAAAGATATTTTAAAACATCATAAATTCAAAATATGTCTTTTGCAGGCCTTTAAAGTCATTCACATAGTTTTTAGTTTTTTAATTGCTTGAAAGAAATATATCTACTTTAAGTATTAAAAAGGAATAAAAATAACTGTTCTTATTCAGTTTTGCACATTTCTGGGGTGGACAATTCACAAACATCAAAATACAAACACAGAGGACTGAAGGTTAACCCTGTTGAGTCAAGTTGGTTAAAAAGCTGTAGCTGCTTATAGCAGGGACCTCTCTGGCTACAAGCCACATATGCATAAAATTCAGTGGATCCCTTTTTTTTTTTTTTTTTGGCCCTACGATTTGTTGCTATGTATTTTTTTCTGTTTTGGACCATAGGGGGCAAAGGATTGGGTCTCACACTCTCATACTTTGATTCTACTTCAGAGTACATATTCTATGGTTTCTTTTGAGAAAAGAGCAACGTCATGCAGCAATATGCTGCTGCTGCTGCGGCGGCGGCGGCTGCTGCTGCTGCTACTACTACTACTACTACTACCACCAATAATAATAATAATAATAATAATAATAATGATAATGATAAAGTTGGAAGGGACCTTGGAGGTCCAACCCCCTGCTCAGGCAGGAAATCCTATACCCGTGCTGTCAAACCTATGGCACACGTGCCACAGGCGGCACGCAGAGCCCTCTCTGTGGGCATGCACGCTATCGCCCGAGGCCTAGGCCTTGAGTCCCGTCCATGAGCAACCTACATCAATACCCATGCAGGGTGAGGTTGCTGCGCCCGTGCCTGCCTCCCCAACCATTCATTTACTAACCTGCCTTTCAGCTGCATTCCATTTCTCTGTTCGCTTCTCAGCCTTCGCTGCGTGTTTGTGGGACTCAGTAAAAAAAAAAAGTTCCACCAGACTTTCTAACTTCTTGCAAGATCTCAAGAAGTTAAGTCTGATGGAACTTTTTTTTTTTTTACCGATAGTCCCACAAACATGCGGCGAAGGCTAAGAAGTGAACGGACAAATGGAATGCAGCTGAAAGGCAGGTTAGTAAAAAAACGCTTGGGGGAGGTAAGGGCATCTGGGTGAGGGTGGGCATGGCAACCTTACTCTGCATGGTGGCAGGAAGGTGGGGTGTGTGCCCTTCCTATGCCAGACCAGCCCCTGCAGCCCCGGGGCAGCCATGCTGGGCAGCGGTGGGCAGGGTGTTGAGGTGGGGGCTGGCAGGCCAACCAAAGCAGCAGGTGGAGCGCCGGAGGCTCAGGCCATTGGCAAGAGCAATACGTCTGAGTGGAAAGCAGCCTCGGAACAAGTGGGGCAGGTAAGGAAAGAAATCCTCGCTTTCCCCAAAAATTGCCTTTCTTTCCTTACCTAACTTCCATCCCTGTGCCATTCCTCCTTTGCAATCCCCTGCCGCCGTATGAAAGAAAACAAAGGAAGTTTTTTTTGGGGGGGGAAGGTCAATCAATCAATTCTAACTTCTCGTGAAAGATCGTGATTTCCTCACTTCATTGTGCTGATATTCTGCCTTAGTTATGTGCCCCTCTATACTTATCCTTTTTTGTCTTTCAATTTATCAGAGAGTTCTTTATGCAGCCATGCTGGTTTCTTTTGACAACTGTTATTTTTCTTCCTCATTGGTGTTGTGCTAGACTGGACTTTTATAATCTCACTTTTCCCCTTGAAGATTCTCATCCATGGAATCCTTCCCAAGCTCTCTATTGCTTGTGCTTACATAATGTTGAATTCCAGTACTGCATGATCAGTCCCCCCCAAAGTTCCTGTAGCTTCAACACCTTCTATCATTTCATCTCTGTTAATGAAAATTAAGTCCAATATGGCTGATCTCCTAGTTCCCTTAACTACTTTTTGGGAGACAAAGTTGTCTGCTAGGTTTGTCAGGAACATGTTTGATCAGTTGATGTCAGGGCAGTTAAAGTCCTCCATTACTATTGTGATGTGCTTCCTACATACTGACTAGCAAAAAGTTCATCTGTTTCCTCTGTTTGGTTGGGTGGCCTATAGTATATACCTATGACAATGTCACCCCCCCTTTTATATAGACCCAAATTTATTCAAGACAGTTTTCATCATTGTTGTGCTCTATTTCTGCAGAGATGTAGTTATTTCTTATATATAGTGCAACTCCACCTCCTCTTTTATTTGGTCTGTTTCTTTTAAATAATTTAAATCCCTCTAGTTCAGGCATGTCAAACTCGCGATGTCACGTGACGTTGCACAACATATCGGGACTTTTTCCCTATTGCCAGCAATGAGGTGGGTGCGGTTTTGGCATGACGCATCTGGCCTGCAGGCCGGCAGTTTGACATGCCTGCTCTAGTTGTATATTCCATTTGTGGGTTACATCCCACCAAGTTTCCATAATGGCAAAAATATCATATCTGCCCTCATTGACTTGAATTTCTAATTCACCCTGTTTATTCTTCATGCTCTGTGCATTGGTATATAAACATTTGAATCCTTTTTGACTGACCCTATGTTTACTTTCTACATAACCTATTTCCTGCATGAGTTCCCCTACTTTCTTACTACCTGTTTGATTAGTGCATGGTACAGTACACTCTATCAAAAGCTTTATTTTCCTTAATAGCAAAGTTGATATTCTTACCCACAATTTTGACTCCTATGTATTGTTGAAGAGACCCACAGTTGCCTAATATTGTGTTTAGACATGCTAAGTCATCATTCATGGACATCCAAACACAGCAGCTAGTTCTGCTAAGCCGGAATTAAACAAGTCACACTATGTGTTTGTGTGGGTACGTGCACACATACATGCATACTTTCAAATCAGGTTGACTCTTAGCAATTGCCTGGACTAGTCCTTGCAGTTTTATTGGCAAGACTTCAGAAGTAGTTTGCCATTGCCTCCTTCCTATGGCTAAGAGTGAGTGACTGGCCCAAGGCCACCAGCTGGTTTTGTGCCTAAGGATGGACTAGAGCTCACAGTCTCCCAATTTCTAGCCTGATGCTTTAACCACTACACCAAACTAACCAAGGCAGTGGAAAAGATCAATATATATTCCAATATGAAAAACTGAATACCAAATAATTGTTTCTATCTCACATCCTATTAAATTAATGCTCCAAGTATTGAAATCCAGGCTTTGTGAGGGAGGGTGTTAAGGTTGTATATTGTCTCTTTATTGTTTTAATTTATATGCAGAATATATTATGAGAAATATTATTTAAGAATAAATAAAAATCGAAGACAAGGTTGCTAAAGTTTCAACAACTTTAAATATGCTGATGACCTCAGTTGAGAGCTAGATATTAGGAAGTTTTAAGAAAAGTTGATAATAAAAAGATAAAGGTTTCCTGTCCAGCTGTGTCTGACTGTTTCTTGGGTGATGGAGCCAGTATTGTCTGAAAACAATTCCCATGTCATGTGATCAGCATGGCCATATGCAAAGGTGCACAGAATGCTGTTACCTTCCCACCAAAGTGGCACCTATTAATTTATTTTTATTTGTATTTGCATGCTTTTGAACTCCTAAGTGGGCAGGAGCTGGGGCAAGTAACAGGAGTTCACCCCATTGCACGGCACTTGGGTCTCAAGCATGGGCTTTCAGCTTTCCAGCTGACAAGCTCAGCCTCTTTAACCACCGAGCCATCACTCCAAAAGCAGTTTTCTTGCCAACATTAAAACAAAAACCCCTCTAAGATTATCATGTCAATAGGCTGGCAGGTCAGTGCAGACAAATGAAGATGGAATTAGTAGCAGGCCCTATTTCTTCCCAAGCAAAAAAAAAAAATATGCACAGCAATGGTGATTATACAATAGCCACTGGGCCAAAGAGAGATCTGCTTCTTAGATGAAAAGTGAGACATCAAGACAAAATATTAACATGTGACATCACACAAACAACAGCACATATTGTCGAGGCCATTGTTTTCCCAGTTTTGATTTATAGCTGTGAAAATGTGAACAAAGAAAAATTGATGCCTCTGATATTTGATATTGAAAATAGCTTAGATTACACAAAAATAAATAATTCAATATTAGATGAAGTAAAATTATATTGCCCAATGAAAGCATTAAAATTGAAGCTAAAGCTTAATCCTTTTGGATACATAATGGGAAGGCAAGTGTCACTGGAGATAAGGGCCAACTCAAAAGCTGACAGAAAGAAAAGAAAGACTTGTGAAAACAACAGGATTAGCAAACAACTTAGCTGGTAACATATAATAATAATAACTGAATATGAAGAACTAAGATATCAGTGGGAAAATAAGGCTTAAGCTTAGCTTTCCACCATGAGTGCTATTGAACATGTATCTGTCATTCCAAAGTGAGAAAGTCCTTTCTATTTTTGTGTCATATTCCATGTGTTACTGTCATGGAATACAGTTTCTGCCCCCCAATGTCATGTTGCTGGGATTCTTCTTTGAAAAAGAATTCCTAAATGCAAGCAGTTTACATAATTAGGACCTATGAATAGCCATTAAGATTACACAGAAGTTCTCTGGGTGAGCATCTGCTTTCATGTAGGGATTCTTCAGCCATCTATATTCAAAGGTAAAGTTTGTTTAATGATCATATGCTCTCAGGGTATGTCTAGAAGTCACACTTTTAAGTAAGAAAAGAGAACATGCAGTTGCTTATTGCATAATTTTAATTGGGTCTTAAATATCTTTTACTGTACGAGAAACAGTTTTCTGGGGTTTAGTTTTATTTAGATCATCACGGACGTTTTTATTTCCATTATCACACAATAAGGAAGTAGTAATAACAATAAAACAAAATTATGATATACAGATAAACAGATAAACCTCCAAATGACCTCAACCACTCTAAAAAAAAATGCAAACGACCAGTTGTCTGCAAGGAATATAAATCCTGCATTCCCCACCATCCAGTCAGAGCTGAAGAAGCTTTCCCGGATGAGAAGCAAAACATCTTCAAAGAAAAACAAGAAAGGCCAGTTGCCTCCTAAAAAAGCACCTTTGGGAGAGTCATGATCTGGATGATTGAGAATCTCCATAGATAATTATAAGGATATGGCATTCTTTTTGACTAATCAATTTTCATAGTACACCATCTTTCTCAAGTGATTGAATACCATGATTGAACACCATTTTTATTGCTTATTTTATACTAATGTAAAACAGTGATTCCCTGCTTTCCTTTTAACAGACTGTACATCATTATTAAAGAAAGATTTTACAAACTTGCTGCAATAATCAGCTCAGTAATATAGCACCTACCCCTCCTTCAAAGCACCTCTTGGGACCCTTAGATTTTTTAAAAAAATGTAAACTATCAAAACATTTCAAATATCATGAGACCACTGGATTTTGCTTATTTTGTGTTCTCATTTGAAATTTAAATTGGATTTTGAGTGAGAACTCCAACATCTCACAAGATAATTTGGAAGAAATCCGTAAAAAAGGACCCAATTCTCTGTCTTAATTGTCTGGATCCTAATGCTCATCAATAATGTTTAGTGCCTTAAAAGGATTGTCTTTTTGATTTTGCTGGGCAAGAAAGAAACTGACAGCACCAAATTTCTTCCTCACTAGGTCATTATTGAGAGATACAAAGGGGAGAAGCAGCTACCTGTTCTGGATAAGACCAAATTTCTAGTTCCTGATCATGTCAATATGAGTGAATTGGTAAAAATAATCCGGTAAGTGAAATACTTCAAAGCAGCTGTGATTTGCTTCTGGATATCAAATGACCAAGGAGCAACTTTCCTAATGAGTAGAATAGTGCTGACAATTTGGTTGCCTATGGCAGGGATCTCCAAGCTTGGCAACTTTTAAGACTTGTGGACATCAACTCCCAGAATTCCTTAGCCAGCCAAGTCTTAAAGTTGCCACGTTTGGAGACCCCTGGTCTATGGTATGAAAGCAACTTCTCTTTCAATGTAGAGCATCTTGCCTTTTAACTATCTCGTCATTCACTCAGAAGAAAGGAACCCTGCTCAAGTCATGGAAAGGTTTGGGGACAGAAATTTAGCGTGCCAAGGATTAGAATGACTAAGAGTGTTACCATAATTTGAAGTCAGCAAAGTAATATACATTCTCTGTTACAGATGGGAATCCTCCATAATCCTTTGCCTTCTGCTGTATAGGTAACCACACAAGCCAACTCCAGTTGGTCCTCAAAAAAATATTATAGGGATTATAATGGCAGTTCTGCCTTCCATGAAGATGGGTAATAGACTTGAAGATTAGATAACCCTGTATTAAGGATACAGATTTGTACTAACTCTTATCTGCATTTTGACTAATTCACTGGCCTACAGTTACCAAGATGTAGTTATCAAATCAGAAGTGTATTAAATTTCTGCCTCTTCCCTAAAACTGCACTTTCTTGAGAATTATTAAAAGAGCTTCGTAGCTCCAGTCATTATTTGGCTTAGCTCTTGTGGTTTGCAACTGTGCAAACCACACAGAAAGACACTTTGGAGACCCTCTAAGATGATTAATGTGTGTAGCAGACACACATTACGAGTAAAGCAAGGCAGCTGACATTTTGCAAGGCTTCCATCATTATGTGTGATAGAAATTTGAGTGCTTGAAACTGTCAGTGTCCAACCTCACCAATGCCACTCCCCCCTCCCATCTCTGGGAATGGCAGTCCGACACATTCTGAAGGTAGCATGATTTGGATCAATTGCAAATAAGCATTCTGTCTTCAGGATATGTGGGACTGCAATTCCCATTTAAATATCTTGTTAAGATGCTCTTGTTACCATTAATACTGGCCTGCTGTGTAGCCTACATTATGAAAAAAAAGTATTTTTTTAAAAAGCAAATTAGAAAAGAAAAACTTTGCAGAGCAGATTTATTAAAAGGATGATAGAACATGTAATAAAACAGCACTGAAACTCTTATTAGTTTTTAGACATTTTTGGTATTGGTGCCCTGTATCTTGTTCATTTATTGAACTGGAATTAGCTGTGCATGCTTTATTATGCTCCTATTTTGACTCAGGCTCAATAATTATCTTCTGCACTGCCTCAGGCGCCGGCTACAGCTGAATCCTACCCAGGCTTTCTTCCTATTGGTGAACCAGCACAGCATGGTGAGCGTTTCTACTCCAATCTCTGAGATCTATGAGCAAGAGAAGGATGAAGATGGCTTCCTTTACATGGTCTATGCCTCACAGGAAACCTTTGGGTATTGAGTGTCACTACCAGAGGACTAATTCCAAACTGTTGCAGCAACATCTCTGCCTCCCCACTGCTCCCCACATTGGCAAGCCCTATGCAGAGAGAAGCTTTTGGTCCAGGAGCAGCCTGGAAGCAACTGTGTTCCTCCAATCTCATAGCACATCAGACCAAGATAATTCAGTGTGTAGGTGTGTGAGAGACCCATAAATCTCTGTTTGCATTGCCTCTGTCTTTTATGATTGCTATACATTGTCTCCCATCTTGTTCACGCGGGTGTGTTTGCAGATGTATGCACTCTTTCATATTATGTCTTCTTTCTTACTCCAATGCCAAATTGATGGAGCCCCTGGCTGTCTGGCAAATAAACTGTTTTCCTCACTTATTAAAACAAGGGATGTATTTGTTTGCTATTAAAGAGCAGAAAATCATAAAACAAAAATAAATTACTATAACTTTTATTGGGATTTTATTGGGAGTTTTCAGTTGTTGATTCTTGGTGCTACACAATAGATGTAGGCATCTTTTCCAGTATGTTCCCAAAACTATATCTTCTAAGTTTATTACCTTTAAGCACGAGGGGGATTACAATTTGCTTGTATGATGTAGCCTTTTTAAAAAAAACAAAAACAAGTTTTTTTGCACTTTAAATTGTTGTAAAAGTGAGGATGAAAGTAGCTTAATTTTCACAAAGGTGTCGTATTTTGCGCTGTTTCTGACAATGTTTCTATTTGCCTTTTACAAGGTTTATTTTTCAAAAGCCAGTCTTTTTTTCCTTTTTTGCTCTTAATGCATGCATGGATTTTTTTAAAATCTATTTTTAATCCCATTATGGCAAACAGGCCATTTGGCTCAAGGAATGTACTGATTTATATTGCTACTTTACCTGGTTATTTTATAAAAATATGATACCAAAAAGTGTGTATGACAGAGGAAAAAGATCTGCCCAGTCAAACCTATATAATTATCTATATAAATAAAGATAAATTAAAATTCTCTTCTGATGGAAACTAGTTTCCCTGTCCTGAACTCATCACATTAGCATATCTCTGAAGTTAAGGGACTGGTCCTGAAAAAAAAAATGTGGTCTGTATATCAGGTTTTCTTATCACTTTGAATTTACTGCTATGATGCAGACAGACTATCCTTATTCTACTGATGTTATCCTACTGCAGCAGGGATTGCCATCGCTAAGCAATGTAGTCACGCTTTATGACCATACTGTTTAGCAATAGAAATTCCAGTTCCAACTGCCATCATCAGTGAAGGACTACCTGCACTTCCAGGACACTTCCCCCCCTCCAAAAAAAAAAACCTGCTTCAGAAAGTTAGGTGGGGATGATTCGGTTACTGAGATGAAGGTCACCCAGATGGTGACTGACTGGTAGACTTTCAATGATTTGACTTTGAGTCAATATAGTGTGCTCCATCTGGTGTCCTCTGTAAGATGGTAACTTTACAACATATTGGAAGAGCATCAGGTAGAAGTTGAGCTGCAACATATCTTTAAAACTGATTCTAGACAGCAGGGCTACGTGCCAGACACTGCCCTGCATGTGAGTTCCACTCTCTACAGTCAAGACAAAATGCTGCTCAATAATTCTGTTTCTTTGTGAGTGAAGTGGCGCCTTTTTATTTTAATTTTCCCAATCTTGCCTGGCCAGCAATCAACTTATATGCAAGGCAGTCTGCAAATGGAGTCTCTGGATGTTTTTCAGCCACATCAAAAATTAGTAATGCCACAACAACTATACAGTGTCAGAATACTGAGGTTACAGGGCTTCTGCATGCCAATCCAGATAAGTATTTACAATATGGGGATGGGCAAGTATTAGTTAGGACATAGCAAGATAAAAAGGATTACATTTGGTTGAACAGATTTTATAAGTGTTCAGTAAACATTTAGGAATATGCAACTAACCACTACATAGGTATACAATCCACATTTGGTGTTCTTTGTTCAATAATTATACCAAAATATGCAGTTCTCTGCATATTTTCCCCTTCTCATTCAATTTACCTCCTTCATAAACAATCTAATTTATCTAACGCATTGACTCACTCAAGTTGGGATTGGTTGGTGGTAATCATAACATACAAAATCAGCATTTCTTTTCCAGTTCACAAAGAGAATACAAACTAGAGAAAATGCCATTGAGTGGAAAAGCCATTCAACAAAAGGGCAAATGAGTTGTATTTTGTCGTTCAAGAGAATCTCATCAGCATATTACTTTCTATGACACCAAAACCTCAGAAAAGGCAACTATTTTGTGAAGCAAAATGCATTTGATAATACTAAAACTTTAAGTTTAGTTCATATCAAGTGCTTGCCTGCAGGAATCTCATAAAAAAAGACATGATTTCTGGAAAAACTTCCTGCAACTCAGCAATAATATACTCAGTCATTTCAACTGTTACAAAAAATAGACCTTATGGAGCTTTGAAGATAGTGAGAATGGGCTCATTAAGCTCCACAGAGCCCAGCCCAGATAGTCTCTGCATCAGGAAGAAACCAAGAAAAGAATTCTACATTACACCAGAAAATACTTCAGACTTTAATCCTAAGTAATGTGATCTGATTTCAAGGGAATGCACAACACACTGATTAACCTCTGTAACACATTAGGAAGGTTACTGCCCATGGTTGTACATATTCTCTGAACCTATCATGGTAAATTACTGCTGAAAGATCCATATTCCCATGAATCTCTCTAATTTCTCTTTAACTCCATCTAATTTAATGGCCACTATGTAGTTCCAGGTTGAAAAATATGTTATCCTCCAAATTATTATTTATTTGGATCCTGTCTTATTATTTTTACAAATATCTCAAGGTATCACCACATTTTCCATCTTCACCATTAACTATGTTGACTGGTGCTGCTGCATTTTAATTAAAAATATCTGGAAGGCCAAATGACAACTTCCCGTGAAGAGATATGTGCTCATGGTCCAGAAAACCATAGGATTGCTTTATGACCATGCTCCTTAGACATTACTTCCTCTGGCTGCCATTTCCTCCCAATCTTTTTTTTTTATTGAAAAGTTTTATACAAGTTTTTAACAATATCCCCCCTAAAATAACCCCCTCCCTCCCTCCCCCCCTCACTTCCCAGAGCTGGTTACAAGGTTACAAATAAACAAACAAATTCTAAATAAACTTATCCAACTATACAAATAACAAAATCAATAATGTACTTTAACTCGAATACAAAACAAATTTAAGCAAATAAAATATATAAAAAAATAACAATATAAGCAATTCCAAATTAAAAAACTAAAAATTATTCATAATCTAAATAATACTTTTTAATCCCATATCAACTCTATTTACTCTATATGTAATTTATCCATCTTCTCCACGCTGAGGTGTATATTTCTTTTAAACAACCATTCATCCATAATAAACACAAAATTTTCCTTCCAATATAACCCAACCAACAAACTTACATTCGATAAACTTGGCTATTTGCTTTTTTTCCCACCCCTAAGTAAATCTATTAATACCCTCCTGCTTAAGAAGTTTCAACAAACCATTCATCTTAATCACTAAAATTCTCACCAACAGAGATCACTAGAATTTAAATTCTTTTACACATTTACCCATAATATCTCATAATTATTTTTATACACTTTAAATTAAAATTTTTATATGTATACTTCCAAATATTTAAACTTTTCCACTAAATCATCACCTTCTATTATTCTTTTTCTTTACATCTACGTACTACACAAATCATTCACTATTCCTTTAAAACATACTATTTATTGTTCTTTTTCTTTACATCCTCATATTACACAAATCATTCACTATTCATTCATTCCAATACAGCTCTCACTACTACTAATCTTTTATTAGTTACTTCAGTAAATGTATGTAATGAAAACAGAACACTGTAATGTTCTTTGAAGGTGCACACCCCAAGTATCTTAGATCTTGTGTTCCCAGCAAGTAGAGAAACATTTTCAAATTAGACTCTATTGATACCTGGGCATCTCAGATGCTTTGCTCTAATAACTAGCCATTATCTCCTTCCTCCCCTATCCCTCAATACCAAAGAAGGAAATTTCTTCCTCCATGCCACTTTAAAAAGTGTTTTATAATTTTGAGGAACCATGCTGCAGTGAAACCTATTTTTTCAGTTAAACAAATTCAAATGTTCTAGAAATCTGGAAGGCTCTTTCATACAACAAAAGATCAGGTTCACCATTCAACCATCAAAGATTGACATTGCTTTACCATTTATTTCTTCTGTTTGACCCAGTTTCTTTTTCATTTCCACAGTTATATATGCAAACCTGACTCAACTGCTTCCTTTTTCCTGGTAATATTCCTCTGCTCCCTTAACCTAAAAAAGAAAAGTCACTCTTTCAGGTCAAGCACAACTCCTGATGGCTTCAAATGACTGTTCTCTCAGTCCCAAGCCTTCTTTTCCCCTCTTTCGTCATCATCTGCCTGAAATCTTCCCTACTACCATAGCTTTTGTTGAAGAAGTCCCACGGTATCTTTACTTGGTCTATATCTGTCCCTTTATGGCAAGTTTGCTTTGTGAGATTTGACTTTTCAGGAATGTCACATTCATAATGCGCAAGAATAAGTATAAATAAGCAGACACTGTAATTATGTAATATTTAGTATGTAACTGACACTTTTAAATTTTTGACAGCAATATATTTACAGAGCTGACTAAGGTAAGGCTAAACAGGCACTAGTCTAGGCACACCAAATTTTAAGATATGCAAAAATAAAAAAGACTTCCAAAAAACACAATAGAAAAATGCAAAATAGTAATGACATTCTCCGTGAGGCAGCATGTCCACTTGAGGGTTAAATATAATTTCACAGTGTAAACAGGGTGAAAATATCCCAGAAAAATAATATCTGGGGCTGAAAATCATAAATGGAAAGCTCAAAGAAGAAAAAAACAGAAAGAGGACGCCTTTTAAAAATCCTTACAAAAAATGTACAAACTATACACCTAGGGCAGGGGTAGGCAATCTTGGCTCTTTTATGACTTGTGGACTTCAACTCCCAGAATTCCTGAGCCAGCCATGTTGGCTCAGGAATCCTGGGAGTTGAAGTCCACAAGTCATAAAAGAGCCAAGGTTGCCTACCCCTGACCTAGGGCAGCAAAATATCCTGCATATATACCGTATAATTATCTCCTATTCCTGCCATCACCTTATTGTTAATGTTCACAGTTTTAAAAAGTGAACTACTGAAAGACCTTGAGAAAAACTAGCAGAACAAAAAATCAATATTCAGACAATTGTTTATTAGGCCAACACAGTTTTATAAAATAAGTATGCAATGCTAATTTATTCCTGGCCATTTTAATTGTTTAATTAAAAACTCAAAAGCTTTCATACTATTTTACAAATCTGAAATTGGCCTAAAAAAGATACCAACATGAGTTTCATGTATATAATACTGATATTATTTCCATATTGGTTTGAAAGTAGAAAACTGAATTGTTCTTGATTCTTAAATTCTGGAGAAGGTACGAAAACAGCAGAATTCTAGAATGAGTTAGAGTTAGACAAACAGAGATTGTGTCAGTTGGAAACACAGCCACTCCTGTCTTTCTTATACCTATATAAAATCACATATTAAAAAGGTTTTCTTCTTATCAACGTAAGTCAGCTTGCAACAGCCTTGAATTTGTCATAAGCTGCCAAAAGAAGGCCCCTCAACGAGAGACAAAACAATGGACTCTCTAGCAATGTATCAATTTCATTTCTTATTACTAAATTATTGTATCCAGATTCATTGGAATTTATATCAGATTATATCTCTTATCAAGAAGATTATCAATTTGCATGAAATAAACAATTTTGATTTGATGAATGTATGGATAATTGATTTATTATTATAACTGGGTTTCAAATGTATTGATTGTATCAATTAATTGAGGCAGCTGGAATGTCTCTGTTTTATAGTCATGCACACTGTTCACAATCTTGGGATTGGACAATATAATTTTTTTGGGTAATACAATACAATGTAGAGTCTTTTCTAGACACAGCTACAGCATTCTTCATATAATACACTCTGTAGTTTAATAAGGCAAGAAGTTTCTTTATTTTTAATTCCTGTTGAAAGAGCACTTATTAAGAAATACATTTAAAAGAGTATGTGTGACCTGCAGAGTGGCTTTGCAAAAAGTAACAGATGGCATATTTAATACTAAATTCAGTGCCTCCCAATCTTATCATTTCTGCTCACAGGTAAAAAAGTGGAGTATCCTTTTTCTGGGAACTGGGAGCTTGGTTAAATTCTGCTTAGCTTTCCTATTTTACTCACATACCATGAGTAAAATAATAGAGAAAGATACCATGTACAGCTATATTAAGTTGGAAAAGTTTAAAATAGCAGCAAGTACCATACGTACAAACCTACGTACATATGTACGTACATACATACATACATACATCTTACAGAAGAAATCTGCCCGGACAACACTGAAGGTAGATGAGAAGGGACTGCCCTTTTTGCATAGCCTCTTTTCTAACACCCTCACATCTGATTGCTTGTCCTGTCAAGAACTAACACTTTGGGTGGAATATATAATGGTCTGAGTAGCATCATATGAAAAACATCACTTTATTTTGAAGATAAGTTAAAAGGTTTGTGCTTTCTGATTTTTTTGCACAAAATCTAAAAAATAAAAATACATATTACGCTCTCAAAATTGAGTCAAGGTGGAGGAAATAATTTATGCATCTCTTAAAAAATGAATTACACAGCTCACCCATGACCATGTAGATCCATGTGCATTCCACGGGGGGAGGGGGGAGGGAAAGTTTTCTGTATCATGCTATGTTAATCTCTCTTCCTTAAAACTAATTGCCAAATAACACAGCAGAGAAACACTATTTTCCCTTAAAGAAAAGTGAGCAAATTCTACCCACCTAACTCTAATCCTAATCCTGACCACTGTCTTTTAAAATCTGAGATTTAGCTCTCCATGTCTGCCAGACTGGTTGAGGATCCACCTTCTGTCTAGAGCACCGTGGCGTTACCAGGCCTCCTAGCTTCTAGTATTAGGACGTTTCATATAGCTGCCCTTTCTCCAAAGACGTCTGTAAAATTAGGCAGGTAAATGAACAATTACAGCAAAGGAAGCACAGCAGTAAGAACCAAAATAATGCATATTATTTGTTTCCTGAAAAAAACTTCTCAAAAGTGTTCCCAGAAATCATCATTATCACCAACACCTACCACTTTGCTTCTAGGTACAAAAGCTCATTTTGGTTGTAAGTCCCAATGCAGTTTACCCGAAGAATCTCAAGGATTGTTGAACAGGGTTCACAGCAATGCTATGGCTGGAGGAAACAGCTTTAAATAGGGATACAGGATATAAATGCAGTCTCTTCCACCTTGTTCACAAGTTCTTAGTACCAACTCTGCATCAGGATTAATGTATTCCCATATCGCGGCCCATTCTCCAAATGCAAAACAGTTTCTTCCGAAAAATCAGGTCCCCACCCACTTTAGTATCATTTTTTTCCATAAATGTCTATTCCTCAAGTCACATCAAATGCCAGGATTATTTAAGAACCAACATAGGATCTGTCCTATCTTTTCTTATTAAATGGATTCCGTGAATGAGATAGTATTCCCTCTGCAGGAAGGCATAAAAATAATCTGAGATGAGAAAAATCTGCAAAAGAAAGGAGAGAGAGAAAAAAAGTTGACATATAACTTCCTTTAAAACAAAATAGTTGCACTCAAGAGATATTATAAACATTAAAATATACCCCTATATGCACTTAGCAACATAGACAACATCAGATTGATTTATAGAGATATGGATTTACTTTATGGATTTACTTTATTTAAAGCCAGCTGACTGGATGATAATAATAATAATAATAATAATAATAATAATAATAATAATAATACAATCAGGAAATCCCAAATTCTCAAGTTCAAATCATACTCAGATCTGCAGCTCAATGTATATCAGTGTTTCTCAAACTTGACAACCAAAGATGTGCGGATTTCAACTATCAGAAATCCCCAGCTAGCTGGGGAATTCTGGGAGTTAAAGTCTACACATTTTAATGTTATTAAAGATTAATAACACTTAAGATTAAGAAACGCTGATCTATATTACAGACAGAGCTGGCACCAAATTTGTTCTCATTAAAATTCTCCCTGGAATTCCTTTGGCATCAGCAGTTTTCTCCTTCCTGAGAGAAAGAGTGATTATGGGAAAATGCAGTCATTCATAGCTAAATGCCACTGGCAAAGGATATAAAGGAAAATAGATATGAGTGTCTTGAATCCTGTATTTCTTTGCACACTGAAGAGCAATATTATCTTTTGCCAAAAGAACAGCACCTGTTTTAGTGGTTCTAATACAATCAATATTCCAAAAGAATACTGACTCCCTTATGTTTGACTAGGAAATCTGAAAGTGCATTGGACCTCTGGTTTTAAGGATCCTGATAAAGCACTGAATCTAAATTAAAAAAAAAAAAACCATAATACACAACTTCTAAACTATTCAGAATATAATGCCTTGGTTTAAAGTTGATTTATGAATAATCATTCATTGGGAAGCTATGAATTACTGTTTTGGATTTGAATATTACAAGAATACATGATTAACTATGACTACTATCTTCTTTACTTCCTTGTGCAAACAAAATGAGTATCTTAAATCCATGTATAGAAAATCTTGTCCAGTTCTTCATAGAAGAATATGACTTTGTATAGCTCAATCATGTTAGTTTGTATACTACAGAGTGACATATGGAACAGAGATAAACCATATTTGTCTATAGTATAGATGCCAAAATAAAATACTTATTTTTAAAAATGGCCAACATTTTGCCATATTGTCAAATGTTCTGAGATTTTATTAGTCTAGGTTAAATTCATGTGATAATTTGGTATTGTCACTCAATCTTCAAAAATGTTGATGTTCCCATGATTTGGGACATTTTCAAGTTATACTTTTAAATTAATTTTATTAATAGAAGCCAGCTAAAACATGTGATGTAATACCTGTGAGGGCCACCCTGAGTAATATAGTGGTTCAGACAAAATCTGATGACAATATAGTGGTTTGCCTAATGAAAAGTTCGAGAACCATTGCAATGGACTATTTTTGTAAGATATCAGGATTTTTTTTCCCTTGCAAGCCCAACAAAACTTATTGCCAATGACAACCTGAGCCTTAGAGTAATGCTTCCATTATGATACATGCTGAAATGTACCAGTCAATATTGTAAATTTTTTTCAACAAAAAAATAAAGGTTCAAATTCTGGATTTATAGAACTAAAACAATATATGAAGATAAATTTGGAGGAACAAAATACTAAAGATCCTTAAAGTGAACAGATGGAGTAGATACGAACAGCTGATCTAATCTCTGAGCTAACATTTCCACTAAAACTATAGATTAATGCTTTGAAATATTCAGCATCAGAGGAACAAAACAAGATACATAGCTGCATCACAGTCAACAGTATTATGCACTTCAAAATTGCATAACTTAGGTCCAATCCAATACAGCCACATCTGTAATTTTTAGCTATAGCAGAAAACAGATTTTGTATAGCAACACACTTCATCACACTCAGATTTAGTAGTATATAACTTGCAGGAATACCACTTCCTTTTTCTGATGATCAATCATTAAAGAATAGGAGAGCACTATAAAGAGGACTAACTGCACACTGATGATTACTAATCAACTAAAAGCAGATGGGTCTAGGAAATTGGCAAGGCAGTCATGAAATTCCAGCTATGACAGAGAAAGCAGCTGTCATTCCAACCTACCAAGCTGAACCAAGTTCTCATGCAAATAATATTCATATAAGAGAATACTGTATTTTCCTTTCCCATTTTCCCCACAACTCTAATAAAATGTATTTGTATTTGAAGCAGCAAATTTTGCAGAAAATGGTAGGTTGCCAAAATTACACCATGTATATGATGACAAAATCATGCAAATACTGTGATTATATATTTCAGTCAAGACAACTGTTAAATCTATAATTCATGGCCTTTGTGTAATCATATACATCATCACTTGGACACAGACCCTCGTTCATCACTGCTGATGCTCATAATTTGGAAACAAAGCAGTACCAAAAAGACCAATTCAACAACCCTGACAAATGTTGTGATACCACATTCGAAAGATGGATATTAACTAGACAAATTGTATTAAAAAAACTTGCCCTAGAAAAACAGTTATACAGACATAAAAACTTATTAAATTTGGGATCTACATGAAGCCCTTGTCTACTGGATTCCTATTTATCTCCACTATGGAAAGATTTACAATACTTTTTCTTTTGGATATAAAAGAAAGCCAAGAGTCCAAAAATATATGTTTTTATGTTTAGTACCATAGTACTTTCAAATATGTCTGGAATGTCTAGTACCTTAAGGTTTTATACTTAAACCAAACACAATATTTTGTTTCACTAACCTGGCCTACATTGAATGTCAATGTGATTGCATAATAAAAATTGGAGTTTGCACTTCCTGCATAAATCCACAGATGCCATAAAACCGGGAACAGCAGGGAACAGACAATGAGTACACAGGAAAGTATGAAGACATTCCGCAAAACTGCAACAAAAAGCAGAGACATCATTAAAGCTGGTTAATTGATACACTGAGGCATTGTTGGCTTGTCCTATCTTAGTTACAATGGGTGGCACATACTAATTTAGAGGGTGGATTCAGAGACAGCTGCTACAGAGGTCCCTTTCTTAGAATCAGTAATTAACCATAGTTCCTGTGGAGGAGGAAAACTTTGACAGGTTTATTTGTGCAGACTTCCCAACTACACAGGCCCAGATTCCACTTCCTGAATTGAAGCAGGTGCAAACTACAAAATACAAGGATATCAAAATACAATAAGGGTGGATACTGGGTAGAAAGCTAATTCTGGACTGAATTCTTCCTGTTCTAAAATAAAATTCTAAACATTCTAAAATCTAATATTTTATAGAACACTGTTTCCCACACCCTTTTAAGATGCATTACTTAAGTCGATGCCTTATAATTAAATATATATATTTAACATCAATAAAGTACTTTAATTCACTGATTTATTTTTAGTTTTATATTTTATAACAACAACAAGACTCCCAAGATGATTCAACAATACACTGAACCCATAAAGCCACACACTATTCTCTGAAAAATCTTATGTGACCGAGGGATTTCAGATAAATACATCAGAAGAAAAAATAAGTAGAGAATATTGCTCAGTTTTCATGAACCAACTAGTCATATTTTTTAACTTCCATTTCATGAAATTAACAGTTCATTGTATATCTGCTTCATTCAGAAATGTATTAAAATATTTGGAGAAACCACCCATTGGAAGCAGATTTTGGAGCTCCTTAGTATAGTGAAAATGGCCAAAACCCAAATATTTTTAAACTACAGATCCCACTTATGAAAAATAATGATATCCTATTAGATATTCTATATTTCTTCCTGGCTCATTGTCAAGGTAAGGACCGTTATGCACAATTTCCACATTAATAACAATACAGAACTTACACTGATATAGGTGGCTCCAGAGAGGAAGGAAGGCCATGTAGAGAGCAATATCACCTACAGTTGGGTAGGACTTAAAGATGGAAATAATGGCCAACTGAACAAACATGAAGAACATGGGATGTTCCCTAGAAAAGAATAAAAAAAGACGGTAAGTAACTGGGTGAGTGAGTTGCTGCTGTTCTTCCAATTTACATATTCAATATTACCACAATTAATTAGCTTTAATGCACAACATTCAGAATAATGAAATAAAAGGTACTTTAGACTTGTAACACTCTACTAAACAACTCTACTATATCTAGCTTCTGTTATTTCTATAGCAAATTTGAGCTACAAATTCTTTATCCCAGGTGACACTCTGAAGACATGTGGAATTGTTACTTGGGAATTCTCCTGTCTAAAAATTCTGGAAGTTGCATTCACAACAGATCTGGAATATGCTAAGTGGGAAAGACAGGGCTACATGAAGCAAAAAGTAAAATAAAACAGTAAGGCCAGTTCTTTCACTCAGATAGTCTGCAGTTTAAAGTATTCTAAAATAGACTAAGTAAACTAAATGTATTTGTTGGTGAGAGATGTCATTTGTGTCATTGTATCGATTGCTCTCCCAGTATTAAAAAATTCAGAAGCCATCTGATTTATTTCATGTACGGGTTATGTATACAGGCATTTTAGTTTGAGACAGAACAGAAATTTAGAAACATGACAAAGCTGGAGAGTAGCTTTGAATTATTTCATTAAAAGTCCATTAAAACCAATTGCTTGGTATTATCTCATGCGTGGAGATGATCAAACCCTCAATATGGGTAACTTTTCTTCTAGCAATGCATTATTTGCCTTCGAAATGAAAAGTGCTGCTATATATTAAAATGCTGCCACATCCTCTTTCAAAACAGATTCTGAAAATACTCAAATGAATATTTCGTTACTCTCCAAGGTGGCTTCTGCCATGGAGGAGCTATTTTTCTAACAAGGGAAAGCTCCCCCAGTCTCCTGCCGTAACACTTAATCTAAAAAGACTCTCTCTCTCATGAGATACTTATCATAGGTAGTCCTCAGCTTACAGCCATTCATGTAGTGATCATTCCAAGTTACAACAGCACTAAAAAAAGTGATTTATGAACATTTTTCATGCTTATGACCGTTGCAGCATCCCATGCTTATGTGATCAATATTCAGATGGTTGGCAACTGGCATGTATTTATGATGGCTGCAGTGTCCCAGGCTTATGTGATCACCTTTTGCAACCTTCCGACAAGCAAAGTCAATTAGAAAGCCAGATTCACTTAAAAACCCTACTACTAACTTAAGAACCACACTGATTCACTTAATAGCGATGGCAAAAAAGATCATAAAATGGGGCAAAATTCATTTAACAACTGTCTAGCTTAGTAATGGAAATGTTCTGCTCAATTATGGTCGTACGTCAAGGACTACCTGTAGTGTGTATAAGACTAAGGAAAAAATAACTATCACTATATAATGCCAGTAGCCTATATGAGTGTAAATTCTTAGTAGGAAAAACTAAACTGTTTAAATCATTTTGAATTGATTCTTGAAAGTTTAATTTTTAGTCAAACTAAAGTAATAGAAAATATGACCAACAATTAATCTGAATTAATGTTATGATTATGCAAATAAATGAATAAATGTCAAGAAATTGCTTACTTTAATTTTAGCGCTAATGGAATAGTGTAGAAGAAGACATTGATTTGAAAAACACACACAAAAAAGAGACTGAAGTGTTCAAACATTTCAGCAAAGAAGTACCAGAAAAGGCCAACATTGGGTGTCAGGTCTGGAACAGAAAGGCTGAAATTGACAGAACAATATCATCATTAGTGAATTATCTGTATCTATAAAATTATACTCAGGTTCATAATTAACTTCCAAAAGATGACTGGGTTAGTATGTTGCAGAAAACACTACAAACAGGAAGTGTTTCTGTTCACTATGACGACATATGAAAATAAACGCAGGATTTTTAAAGATATTTTTAAGATTTTTTTTGTTTGTTAGATTTATATTCAACCTTTTCTTCAGGAGTAAAAGTTAATGAGCACAGGGCTCATTCTTTCTATCTTCCCCCAGATAGGTTAGCTCAAAAGAGAGTGATTTACTGAAGAAATATCCCTAAAGCTGGAAGGAAGGATCATATACTTGTTTCTTTTTAAATCTGATATAGAATGTCAATTGTCCAGAAACATATTAAGCCTAAGCATGACAGATCACAGTGATTTCCAAGCTCCAGTTTGGTTTAGTTGTTAAGGCAACAGGATAGAAACCAGAAGACTGAATTCTAATCCTGCCTTAGGCATAAAAGGACTTTGGCCCATTCATTCTCTCTCAGCCCAACTCAGGTCACAGGACTGTTGATGTGGGGAAAATAGGAGGAAAGAATTACTGTCTGAACCACTTTGAGTTATTTAAATAAACAGGTGGGATATAAATAAATACATAAAATAAAAATAAATAAAATTTACTGTATTCTGAACTACGGTAGTTCATTGCCGGAGAGATGAAGTAACTGAGCCCTGACTCTCCAGCCTAGTTAACTATAATTGCTCTTATCAGTGCAAAATGCAGTGTATTTTACCAATCTTTCTATCATATCCAACAGAAATAAGGTATTAGCATTCATCTGAAAATATTTTTTGCTTTTTATTCAAGAAACTTAAGCCCACTACTGCTTGCCTTTTCACAGCAGCAAGTTTCATTTCTTTTAACAATTTTATTTTGGGTTTTGGAGGGGTATTTATTACTTTAAAAAAAATATTAAAACCCCTCAATAATAAAAGAGCAGAAAATAAACATCTATTTTCAGTACTTCTACTAAAAAGACAATTGTAAAGATAATACAGAGTCACTTGGTTGAGTGGAGTGGAGAAAGAAATTGAATAAATGAATAAAATAAAAATAAATAATATATTTGAACTTTATCATTTAATACATTTCTCCTGTGTAGCTCATATATAATGTAAGATCATGCTGATCTTTTTCAATGGAGTGAAACAAATCCCAAGACAAATGTCAGCAACTATCATCCAAAACAAGTAACAGCAATTTGAAAATCATAATATTCCTTTTTTTACTACCATTTTTACAGTCATTTCTGGGGAAGTCAGTGCTTGGAAACAACAACAAAAAAAATCAAAGACGCTAAATGGACAATGTAGTCCAAAGCACAGCATTACACAGGCTTTCCTATAAAATAATCCTGGCAAGTGTCTATGGAGATTTTCAGCCATCCAGGCCACGGTTGTCCCAAAAGTGCTTTTCAAAAGGCAGCAGGACTTTCTTTGTTTTTTCTTTGAAAATATTTCACCTCATCTAAGAAGCTTCTTCAGTTCTTGAACAACTGAAGAACTGAAGAAGCTTCTTGGATGAGAAGTGAAACATTTTCAAAGAAAAAAACCAAAGTCCAGTTGCCTTTTGAAAAGTACCTTTGGGACAATCCTGCAAGTGCTGCTCTAACCTGCTTTCTAAAAGCCACTGAAGATTTTTCATCATGCCTAAGCAGGGGGTTGGACTAGATGACCTCCAAGGTCCCTTCCAACTTTATTATTATTGTTGTTATTTATATGCAGCTTTTTACATGCATTGTTGTATTAGTGAACATAGATTTTCTCATTCCACAGAATTTAAGCTGTGAATTTTTTAATCATGCAGTCCATACTTAAATGCCAATATAGCTTAATCACACTTCTGTTTTACTGAATGAATTAAACACTTCCCAGGTCACTCAGATAAACAAAGTTATATTATTTATTCAGGATGCTGAAATCGTCTAATTAATAAGACATTGGACAAAACAAATTGTTTTAAAAATAGAAGGTTTGATTCAATTATTTCTTTTGTTTTGTTTTATACTTAGAACTCACAAGGTAGGAGAGAGATCTTTGTCCTATATGTAGGTGGTTACAATGCAGACAAACAGGATCTACTTACATGAAACCATAAACAGATGGAATGAAATCCCATGAGTTGAGGAGGAAGAATGAGAGGCAAATTATCACTATCAGACTTCCCAAATATAGTCCCGCATATTGTATGGTGTAAAACCAGAACTCCTTGCTTTTCATTTTTACTGGTATGAACTGACGCTAGAGAGAGAAAAAGTGACCACAAAGTATAGTTTTGAAATGTCTGTATGTAATTTCTTGCCAGCAAAATACATGAAAAAGCTTTCTTTAAATTATTTAACACATTTACTTCTGATATTAAGTGAAGACATTAGAAGAAAAAAAACGCTATGGGACGATTCACTTTCAAGCTCCTATAAAAATCTGGAAACTATTGTGCATATGATTGCATAGTCTTTCCTCCATAGAAAGGAATTGATCTCAATGAAGAAAACTGTCTGGCTAGATCTAGAACATGAAAAGTCATCTTTGCAGGAAGGATAGTTACAGGATACAATGGAGATAATAGTAAATCCATTCTTGTTTCTTAATGATTTTTTACACACAATAGCATTGTCATTTTAAAATTGCTGCTTGCACATATAATTTTATTTATTTATTAATATTTTATGCTGCCTATCTCCCCTATAAGATGGCTTATAGTAATGCAAATTGTGTACTCCATTACAATTCGGCCTGATGAAGGCCTTGGTTGTCTTCATGACTGAGCTTAGTGGGAAGAGAAAAGGGTAAACCAACCCTTTGGATTTTCTTGCTCTAAAAGACTTTTGAAACTATCAATCATGGTCATCTTCTGGATTGATTCTGGATTATGAGTTGAGGGAACAGTATTACAGCAGAGCTTTTGGAAGTCTTTATTCAGAGAAGTGGGAGAGAGGTAAATGAAAGAGAACCACTACCAGCTGCAGTTCTTCCTCCAGATTTAATTGATTTCAGAGAAATAGCTGCCAACAGTAGTTTCCTTGCAGCAACGAGATCAGCACAGATAATACCCCAATAATTTTAATCATAAGAGTTAAGATCTCTGATCCTATGAAGATGATTTGCAAGCAATTTACAGTTTGCTAGCCGTCAGCCTACTAGCAATTTTGTAGGTAAAGTTATTCTTCTGCAGGACTAGCAATTCATGGTGCCTAATCTTTTTATTTACTGAAAATATTAAAAAGACTCATTTGCTCTCATGTAATAGATACCTGTAATAAATAGAGAAGGGCTGGTGCAAACAAGGTAAGAGGATACAAAGACTGATACGTTGCTAATGCCAGAAATATAGCACTCAGAAAAGTACTACCTGTAAAATAAAGAGAAAAGGTGTGAATAGCCAATAACAACAATAGGGAAACATAGTCTCTTAATATTTATAGCAAATCCATATAAAATGTGGGCTGGCACAACAATTCTGAGTAGAGACATTGTGCATTTTGAACTAAACTGTAAAATCTAAATAGCGCCTCAACTATAAGGCTGTAATGATCCCAAAAGGAATCTAGTTTTTAAAGGCATCTGCTGCACTGGTTCCTTTCATCAGTTAAGGACAATACTGTAACTCTAAACTAAGAGCAAGTAATCTTGGTGCCTGCATGTGATCTTATGCTCAACCTCATTAGGCTTAGCTGTTAGAAACGAATGAAGACATGACAGAAACCAGGAGGTTTGTAATGATATTTGTATTAATAACAATATTCCCTTTTCCCTGTCAGGAAACCATCAATAGCAGTATAATCAATATTCCCTTGTGTCCTTAGGAACATTAGTACAATTGTGTCACTTCTAAGGAAATCTAAGTGTACATGTCCTACATGCAAACACAGGGTTAGAGCAAGTATAATTATATTAACACACATTACATATTCTCACTGAGAGGAAATTATTTTAGAAGTCTATGCAGCCCAGGTTATTCTGCTGAGTTTTGCATTATTTTTCTATTAGCTTGCTTACCCAGATCTATATTTTTATACTGTAGGAGAACTATCATGAAATTTTAATTAAAATGGCTCTCAATATTCCATTATTGAAGACATGATGTGAACGAATACCTTGAAGGCAGATGCGGATCACTGTTTCGGATTTTATCTGATATAAGCCACAAAAATGCTACACAGAAACTTGAAAAAATTAAATATGTTAATAAAGTATGTTTATAAAAAGCACTGGTGGTTGCTTCAGTGGCTGTTCCCAATCTGGTCCATGCAATTATTAACACTGAGGCAAAGTTCCAATTTTACAAAAGTATTGTTTTGCCAACTTCAATGTCAGTGAAACATGAAAGATGACCTGGTAGCTGGCACAGAGACTAAATGTGTTCCATTAGCACTGCCTGTGAAAGACCCTGACATTACCTAACATGATTGTTGATCCTACAATCCAGATCCTACATGCTGAGATCCTACAAAAAAGCAACTCATGTGAATACAGGACATTGTGATACAAAAATGTGCTTCATGAGACAAGTTTCATATCTTCCAGATCAGCATCATGCCAAGACTGCAATCAGCTGGATAACACCCAGAGGAAAATGGAAGAGATGCCGATTCTATAAAACTTGGTGAAGAACATTCCATGAAATTTGTAAATCCCATTGGAACAACCAGAAACATCTGCAGATGATCAAAAAGTTTGGAAAGAATCTGCTGCTCAATATGCGCAATGTTACAAGAGGATCTATTACTACATGAAAAGCAAAGTACGTTACCTTTTATTGTTGCCAAAATGAAGAATGCAATTATAGCATTGTTGATGGCACAGGTGGATTTTGCCACACAAGACAACACAGTGTATGGATTCAACAGGTAACTGGAAAAAAAAGGCATCCAAGTTCACATACATTTTGTCAATTCCTTTTTTTCCTTTACTTGAAAAAACATAAGGATAGCCTTGGTAGATCAAGCCAAGGCCCATTTTAGCACAGATTTTTTTTTCCTCAAAATTGCCAAAGAGGTCCTCAAAATTGCCAAAACAGATGCTTCATGAGAGGTTTACAACTGGAATTGATATAGAAGAGATATACTCCTCTTTCATTTTTGTTATTCTTCAACTTAATCCAGATTGAATCCCAAGATTAATAATCCTTATTAATCTTGATGGATATGTCCTCCATGAATTTATCCAAATAATAAATTCCATAAATCAATTACGTACTATGTGGTTCTCTTTTGCCTCTATTGTCCAAAATCTCTTTCCAGTCAACGTAAATGGATTAACTCTAATTCTAGTATTTTAAGAGAGGGAGAAAAAAATCATTTCCTCCTTGATTTTAAACACCTTAATCATGTATCCCTGCAGTTGTCTTTTCTCCAAACTAAAGAATCCCAAACATTTCTGATTCTGCACTCAATCACAAAACCATTATGTGAAGGGAAAGTGAGTGGCTTGAAATGAAAGATAAGCAAGTTGTGGTTGGATAGAGGTGGTGGCCCTCAAAAAGAGAAAAGAGAGAACAAATGCAATGTATGAAGAATTATGCAAACATAATACAAGCAAGAATAGTTTTTAAAGTAAGGAAAGATATACTTAATGATGTTGGTGTAAACTAGGTTTCTTTTTTCTCATATTTCCTGTCTTTAATTTCATCTGCTTAGTACTGTACTTCTTACTCTTTTATGATACTTTACTTAATATTCGCTTTCCTGAAAGGCAATAGCATGTGGATATGTACATAATAACAAAAGAACTCACACACTCCAATCACTAAGAGACCTCTCCCCTTTGGCAAATAAAATGTAAGACCAATAATTACCTGTATAATAATGAAGTTTTCAGGAATAAATATGTTCTGGCTCTTTCATCAGACAACTGTATACCTAAATATTTGGTTGTTTGAACAACTCCAGTTGGGGTTTTTTGATGCCTTCAAATCAGTCATGATTCCTGGAGACTGCCTAGACACTTTCTTAAGGTTTCCTTGGCAAGAGTTTAGAAGTGGTTTGCTATTCCTTGCTTTCTAGGCTGAGAGTGAATGACTGGCCCAAAGTCACACAGTTGGCTTTGTGCCTAAGACAGGACTAGAACACAATCTTCCATTTTCTAGCCTGATGCCTTAATCACTTCACTAAACTGTGTTTCTTAATTGGGGTATAAATCTAATTTAAACAAATCTCAAATCCTAAGTTAGTAGCACACCTCAATAGACTTCTAAAAAAGCAAAATAAGAGGAACCATGTCTTCAAAAATAAAGTAAATGTTCTGATGCTCTCTGCATAAGGAAGATAAACCAACTAGTTTCCAATTTCTATTGAAAAACAATACTTACAACAGTGCTACTTTGAGAGGAACATAGTACATTTCTACAGGAGTCCGGATAAGCTCTGCAGCATCAGATGCATATTTATCCAATTCTATTAGCAGTTTTTGCTTTTTAAACTGAATACAAAGAAAAAAAATGTGTAAGTAAAAATAATGTATTTGTTTAGCAATTCTGCCTATTTTTATGATTCCTGCAATTAATACTTAACTCTGTGCCAGACTGTTATCCAGGTTTATAAATTCGACATTTACACCCGTTTGACTTATCACCATTACATAAGCTCTGACAATATGCAATATATAGTAAACTGCAGCATATTCAACTCCCAACAGGATAACTTAATCATGCCAGCTATCTTCAACATATTCCCTAACATGTATTTTAAACAGCTAGCGGCTTGCATTATTGTGTCCTCTGCTTATGACCATGTGTTCCTACCATTGTCTGAAACTTCTGTCTGCAGATAAACATACAAAATTATCCTAAAACAAGCTGTGGGATATTTCAGCTGGTTTCCCCAGTTGGTAACACTAGAAGTCACAAACAATACAGCAGAGGGAAGGGGAGGAGCTAGCTATTATTAAGAAACACATTCATGACCATTCATGGTTTATACTCATCATTAACTCATTATAGTTTGCTATCTAAACTGTAACACCAACTAATTAGCAATGACTCTGAGCACTGTACAGTAACATTTAGAAATGTCATAAAATATAAGATATAATAACAAAAGAAAGATTGAAGACTGACATTCAAATGAGTTTACCAATGGCCCAGGATCTGCCAAAAAACTCCCAAATTTTAACATTTTCCTGAAAGTGAAGTGGGCAAGTGCTGTTCCAGAGAGTAGGAGTAGCAACATGAAAAACATGCCTCCATTGCACTGATGCAGGGATGTCAAACTCGTAACGTCACGTGACATGTCGTGACGTATCGCGACTTTTTTGCCACTGCCAGAAATGGGGTGGGCACAGTTTCACTATGATGCATCTGGCTCACGGGCCAGCAGTTCGACACTCCTGCACTGCTGGGACCCAGACCATACTAACCCTGCCAGATCTTATGGGATGGGCAGAATATGCATAATTATATTTAAAGTAAGAATTTATTCATCTTGAAGACACATTTAATTAACTTTGCTCTGCAAAAATAAACAAAGAACTCTACTCCATCCCTTGTTCTTGATTTAAGCACAAACCCTTGCTTTAAATATAATTGTGTATATTCTGCCCATCCTATAAGATTTGACAGGGCTAGCATTAGCCCCATCAGTGCCATGGAGGCATGTTTCTTATGTTGCTATTCCTACTCCCTGAAACAGCATTCCCCTCTTCACCTTCAGGACAAAGTTAAAATTTTGAGATTTGGGGCAGATCCTGAGTCAATCTAAAACTAGAAGTGCTATATGTTCAATATGGATTGAGAATAGTTCTGCCAACAACTGACACATGAAATCATTCCAAGGTGTATGTTGAATGGAATCCAGTTCACTGCAAGGCAGTTTCAAGTCAAGGTTTCTGAATATACCAGCCTTCCTCAGCTGCATACTTTCCAAATGTCTTCTGATAACTCCCAGAATTCTCAGCCCAAATAAACAATATGTAAAATATTAAGAAAAAAACATTGCTGTATTTAGAAATAGAAGCTGAGAAGATAACAGTATGAAGAAAATGCACTGAAAGTAATATAAGTAAAAACTGGCACTTATCTACTCACCAAAACTTTGTTGTAATCCTGAACAGCTAAATAAAGTGCTATAGCCGTCAAAATATCTGTAAACTGAAGGGAAAACAAATCAAAGGAATACCAAAACACAAGTTACTTTCTTAATGCAAAGTTGTACTTTAGTGATTAAAAAAGTGATTTTCTAAATTAACATCAGTACTGTCTGAACAAAATAGTTCATATTACTAAATACTGTAATTAAACAATGCCCTGTTTATGTGGGTTAGAGCAGGGAAGCCATGGGTAGAATTTCACAAGATGGCATCAAGGAACCATCTCATTTTTATGAGGCATAAAAATTCCTTTGTCACAGAAAGTATTTCTGGTAGTATTTTAGTATTTTACTGTATTTTCGAGTTGCCTGCAATGGATTTTTTTAACACATCCCTATGGTTAAGTGATTGTTATTTTAGACATGGTAGTTATGAATGGGTGATTATGTATATAAACTTTGAGATGTCCTGGTCTCAATATAAACAATTGTGAAACTTGTTTTTACATACATGATTCAATAAATTAGTTAATGTACTCTGGGATGTTCAGTTTTATCAAAAAATACTTTTGGAAGAAGATTTGCAATAAATGCCAAGACATTATATTACAGTTTCTTAAACAATTTCCAATGCCTTGGATAATTATTCAGCAGTAGGACAGCTTGTTCTGAACAAAACTTGGGCAGCAAAGAGAGACAGAAAACTATCATCCAGATTTTAGCCATTCAGATGTGATGCCCTATCAAAAACTTTGAAAATATGGAAAGATACTCACACAAAGCATGAAGGTGAACAATGCTGCTGTACATGTAACACCAATCAATTTTTCCACATTTTTTTCTTTTAAAAATACATAATGTTATCCTAAACATGTTTCTTCAAGAATCCTACTAAGTTCCATAAATCTGGCGCACAGGCTGGCAGTTTGACACCCCTGCATAAGATCCTAATAAGTCCTTAGTGTGCTTAGACTTTCAGCCAGATTCAGGTCTTTAAAAAAGTGTATATCTTAAGTTAAAAAATGTGTTCTATATACAGAAAAAATCAAAGAATAAATTCGGAAAAGAGAGCCAATTATTTGATGGATGAAAATTACATACCATAAATACTAGTTCAGCATAATCAATCAGGAAATGAAAGAGGTATATTATAAATGGTGTCTAGAGGGGAAAAAAAGAAAAAAATATCTTAAACAACTTGTCTTTTGATCAAAGCTTATTTATTAATTGGTAGAAATGATTGCTATGTAGTATCTTCTAAGTATGGTTTTTACAGAGAATACCCAAAATCATTATTGCAGTAATTCACTGTGCTAGTCTAAATGATGCAATAGAAAAAATACTGAAGTAGGAAAAGGCAACATACAACCATTCATTTAGTGACCATTTGAAGTTACAACAGCACTGAAGAAAGTAACTTACAACCAGTTTTCACACTTATGACAGCATCACTTGGCCATATGATCAAGATTCAGCTGGCAACTGGCATGTGTTTGTGACAGTTGCACTGTCCCAGGATCATGGGATCATCATTGGTAACGTTCCTGGCCAGCTTTCAATAAGCAAAGTCAATTGAGGAAGTTAGATTTGCATATTGACCGCATGATTATTTAACAACTGCAGCGATTCACTTAACATCTGTGGCAAAAAAGTTATAAAAGGGGCAAAGCTCACTTAACAACTGCCTTGCTTAGCAACGAAATGTTTGGGCTCAATTGTGGTTGTATGTCACTACCTGTAGTCACAAGCCAGAGTCTGATATTTAGGGGCGCAAGCTTAGTTTGTACCATGGCGTACAAAAATTATATGCTTAAGTCTGCAAAAAAAGATTGCTTATATTTTTAGTTTTGATAATTCCAATGTTATAAAGGGGAAAATCTTACTTTTATACAATGTTAATATTTTAACAGCTGTGCTATTACAGCCAATAAAGTAAAAAAAAAACTACAGTATTAAAGTTACAGTAATAATGACTCATAGTATGAAACACTATTAACGTTTTTTATGATAAATGGAACTGGAGGACAACTTCATTTCCAAGCATAATGCTCCACTTTAGACGTCATTTTAATTTCATTTTTCCTTTATGCATAGCAATAGCAGTAGCATGTAGGCTTATATAATGCCCCATAGTACTTTACACCCTTTACTAATGTCTTTGTAACTGTGTCAATGGCCTGATTCATTACCCACATGAAATCATGTTAGCTTAATATGTTGTATGAACTGAATATTATGACTTGAAAAGCATGATTTATATCTTAGCATGTTGAGTGAAACTGGCCTACTGTTAGGATCAAACTCCAGGCTGTGGACAGTTTGCCTGCAATACTGCCCTTTAACCACTTTAACCATAATCAATAAGCCATCATTTAAGTTTCCTAAAACACTCTGAGAAAAATCTACAAATCTTTTTGCTACTGAACGGACACTGTAAAGATAAAATTTGGTATTTTAAAAATATTTTACTAATTATACATGTGGTAAGCAGGTTCCTGAGGGGGAAAGGACCTGTTCCTTTTCTCCTTATGTCAAGAATATGAGATATATTTTTACTTCCTGTAGTCACCAACTGCACTGTAGAATTATATCTATTTATTTCAATTAATATTTTATATATTTTTTCATTTTGTAAAAACATTCCTAAAGCAGGAAATAATAGACTTTAACAAGTAACTTGAGATGTCAGTTTTGAGTTATTTCTATTATCACAAAAATTAAAAATAAACATTCTCATGAATTGCTTTGTGTCCACCTCTGCACTCAACAGCTCAAGTGAGAAGGCAATATAATTCTATTAAGCCCTACAGACTCTTTTACATTATATTCTCATCTTTAATATAAAAAGCATTTTATAGGGGAGTAACGATATTGAAGCAGATCACAACAAAAATTGTATATACTTACTTCATGAAAGATATCCCCGGAATATGGAGATACACCCAAATCAAGTAAAGCTAGTCCTTCAACAACTGGAAAATAGAAAATAAATTCTTGTTCATCTAAATCCTTCTTAAACAGCATCACTCTGAACCGTTCACAATTCTGGGCATTATCAAGGACAAAAAGAGCATGACCAAGGGTAGACAGCACATAAGCTTCTTCACTGGCTATTAGCATTCTGTACATTTTGGTTATTAAGTTTCTTACAAAATTTCTAGATGACTACATCTCTTTATTACTGCAAAAGACATCACTTATGTTCTAACTTTTTGCATCACAGAGATCTGGGATGTCTTAAGTGTCAAAGAACGGGTCAGTACCTGGATTTGTAGAAATCAAAGAAATTCATCTAGAAGACAGCCTATTCATGATACTTAGATATAAAGTGTGATTTACTTGCAGCTTAGAATGTTATACGAACCCTACTCTTTTGGTTTGGAATGTATACAGTAGCTTGGTGAAATTCTGGAGCCTTTTTACATCTCAGGCCAAAAATTACAATGGCAAGATAACTTCTTGGACAAAGCCGTTAGAAAAGCAAAGCTCCTTGCAAAGAAACTGCTCGCAGTCCCAAATTTCTGCTGCTTTCCTTCTTCCTTTCCTATGTTTATTTAGCCCTTCTTTAGACTCAAACCTGCGATCCCAAGACTCAAGGCTTACAATACATCGTGCCAAGGCAGCCAAAGCATTCTTGACACCAACGCATCATTCCCAAGGTAAAAACCCGCTCGGTCACGACCACTCCAAGGCTCGCGGGGGCGGAAAGCGACGCCCCACGAAGGTCGACGAGGCGCGGCGCGTCCAGGTGCCCTTTGAGGACCACCAATCCCCAGCCCCGTCCCCATCCATAGGCCTCACCTCGTTTCCAGGCATTTAAAGGAGACGCCACCTCCACCCTCTCAGAGATAAGTCCGACCAGGCTGGAGCGGAATAAAGCGGCCCGAACCGTTACGGCTACCAAAAGCACCAACACTAAGGGAGCCGCCATTTTAGTGTAGAACACCGGCCTAAACTAGCAGTAGTTCCCTCGCTAGTCCGTTGCATTGGGGATCTACAGGGCAGGTTACAGGAAGAACACTACAACTCCCAGAAGCCATTGTGCAGCCTTTACTTCCCGAAGACGATGGCGAAAGAGTTAGGACAAACTACGGATGAATGAGCATAGCGAGATATGCTCTTCTTCGGGCTGTTTTTTATTGTATTGTATTGCATTTCTTGAAACGTTACCAAAAAGCTTTTTTAAAAAAAATATAGGAATGATTATTGATTCGGTGTTTCGCCCGGATCTTCTCCCTAAAACCAGAAAACATGCTATAATTTCTGAATAACAAGAAATGATACAACTTATTTTATTTATTTGTATCTCGCCTTTATTACTTTTACACATAACTTAAGGCAGTGAATATATCCAATACATCATCTTCCTGGTTTCCTTACAACAAAAACCCTGTGATGAGAGCTGGACACCCCTTCCCCACCCCAACGATCCCAGCTGGAAGAACCGAACGGGGGAGTTCCCCCCAACACCATGAAGATTATTTTGAAGTTTATTCTGTACTCTAGTGTATTAGCTATACCATCCACTTTTGTGTTGTCTGCAAATTTCTTAGGGATTCCCTGTATATATCCATGGAAATGATTAATGAAAATGTTGAACAATATAAAATCCTGGAATAATTTTTTGGCATTCAACTCAATGTTTCACTTCAGCTTGCTAAGGATCTGTTGATACATATTATCTGAGAACACTTTTATGGTCAACTATCTACAGTATCCACTTAATTTTCATGCCATCCATCCATGCTTCAGTGGAACTTGATGCTGAGTAAATATGTATAAATTATTTACTGTGAAAAAGTAAACCGAGCAATGCTGTTATTAGGGTAACTCAAGATCATTAAAAAATGTGACTTTGACTTTGAGGTAAAGATAAAGCCCTGATACAGATTTTAGACTGTCACATAGACACACTGACTCTCTCTCTTAAGAAATGTATTTAAATTTGTTAAAGGACAAATAACAAAAGACATGAATCCTTTGATCAGCAAAATTTGCAAATTCTGTGTGTGTATGTTACAAACAAAGGAAATCAAATTTAATTATTGGTGTACTGTCATATTTCTTAAATTTACCTACTCAGTGGCCTGGGGCTGGTAACAGACATAGTGCCTTACCTGCAGTCCAGATACTACAGTTTAAACAATCTGTCCTAAGAGCTGTCTAGATTCACAGAGTCTATAAGGCATGGACATTGTAGAAGAAATGTGTGCATTATTTTAAGATTGATGAAGATCCATCTGTATACTGTATGCAGACACAAACTACATGTATTTTTATATAAAAAGCCACTTTGTTAAAGCTAATTAGTTCTGATTAAAGTCAGGATGAAAGATGATTTAAAAACAGATGCCTGCTCATGTTGATTATAAACAACATCTCTCACTTAATGTAATAGTATTGCAGGCAATAAAGAATAACACGTGTTAGAGTATACATCTGTTAGATTGCAGTTTACTTCAGTTTCTTAAAAACCTCTCGGAGGAGATGTTTATCAACAATAATGAAAGATACATGAAAACCAAAATGCAGGTAGTAATTTTAAAAATTACTATTTTTAAAATTTAAAATGGTAAAGGGACACTCAGTCTAAGTAAATTTATGTTATATACTGTATGCATACATACATGTAATAAGTGCCCCAGTGTAGGTTCACAGGTGATGAAATTGAACACTATAGAAAGGATACGTTAAAAGTTTTATATTGCATCTTTATTCTAATATGGACACTTTAAACAATTTTAGAGTATACCAAGAGGTTGAATTTGGCTACCTTTTCTTCCTACACTGCCCACAGCAGATCAAGAGAAGTATGTATGGGGCTGAAATTGACAGTATTTTAATTTTGTGAAGTATACATTCTGAGGTGTACATTGATAATTAACTTTTTAAAATATACAATGTAAATTTTGGCATTTGTGTACTCTGCTATAGTGTACCTCATCAGACGTGCTTATTCATATTTGGCTCTGAATATAAGAAATTGCTTCACCATATTGAGTTATTCCACTAGTATGTCTTAATAGAACAAAGATGGAGACCTATGAAATTTATTGTGACCAATTCAAATATAAGGAGTTTAGAGATTGATTTTTTTCTCTTTATTTAGAGAAGCAGGTTGTGTATAATAAATTTCTTGCCTTGTTTTGGAGGAAATCTGCCAAGTAAATAGTTGTATGAACAATTTTTGTGATTTTATATAAAATTCCAACATGGGTGGTTTATCTTTTTCTGTTTAATATGAAGACTATTATAATAAAATAGTTCAATAGGTTTGGGTGGAAAAGAGGGAATTATCACTTCTCATATAATTCATGCTTTAAATGAATTATAGCAGATTCTAATTTTTAGGAATTATGTTGCCATTTTCCTTTGGTTAGAAAAGTGGTATTTGTTTATGAAAGAATGAGTTATTTGCTTGATATGGCTGAATTTCCATTGTAAACATTTCTAAAAAGGTAGATAGCCTTATTATTCTGCTGTAGCAAATAAATAATTAATTGAAGACTTGCTTTACTTGTAAGATTTCTTCTAACTGACCCCAATCTGGAACTCCATGTATGCCTTCTCTTGAATTTCATGTAGCAAGGATAGGATGTACTTTTAAATAAACCAAATGTGAAAATAATAAATTGAAATTTAATGTAGTGTTCTTCTTTCACTGAAGGTGGCATCATATATCCTCTTTCTGCAGTTCTAGTTGCAGAAGCAGAGTCTGTCTAGAAAATATAAAACATATTTCCTTAATTTTTTTTTTAAAAGTAATTCCATTTGCAGAAATATACTAAAATTCAGTATATATTTATTGAATACATAAATCACCATCTCTCTGGTATTAAATTAAAATGCCAATAGTTTACTTATTAGGTTTCTTTGCTAGATAAAGATTTAGTGATCTATAAAGAGCTACTTTCCTGCATCTGCAGACTGGATTAGAAAAATTATTCCTTGAAAATCCTGGCAAGTTGCTGCCAGTTAGCACTGAAATATCAATTTAAATGGTTCAATAATGTTACGTGATGAGAAGTATCTTCCTGATTAACCTGAGTTAATTTCTGCTGTTTATCTTCTGAATGTGGATATAACTTTAGAATCTTGTATACACAAAACATCACTTTGCTGTTGTTGTTAGTTGCAAAGTCGTGTCCGACTCATCACCCATGGACATCGTTCCTCCAGGCCTTCCTGTCCTCTACCATCTTCTGGAGTCCATTTAAGCTCACGCTTACTGCTTCAGTGACTCCATCCAGCCACCTCATTCTCTGTCGTCCCCTTCTTCTATTGCCCTCAATCTTTCTCAGCATTAGGCTCTTCTCCAATGAGTTCTTCCTTCTCATTAGGTGGCCAAAGTACTTGAGTTTCAACTTCAGGATCTGGCCTTCTAAAGAGCAGTCAGGGTTCATCTCCTTTAGGACTGACTGGTTTGATCGCCTTGCAGTCCAGCGGACTCGCAGGAGTCTTCTCCAGCACCATAGTTCAAAGGCTTCAATTCTTTTGCCCTCAGCCTTTCTTATGGTCTAACTTTCACAGCCACACATTGCAACTGGGAAAATCATGGCTTTGACTATATGCAGAGCTTTTTTCTCATAGAAAGCCCAGAACAGAGTTCTGGCACTTTTTTTAGATGGAACCTTGTAGGGTAGGCAAGACAGGTTGTATGACGTGTGTGAGTTCCAGCACCTTTTTTTTTTTTTTTTTTAGAAAAAAAGCACTGATTATATGTACTTTTGTTGGCAGGGTGATGTCTCTGCTTTTTAGTATGCTATATAGATTTGCCATAGCTTTCCTCCCCAGGAGCAAGCGTCTTTTAATTTCTTGGCTGCAGTCCCCATCTGTTGGTGATCTTGGAGCCCAGGAAGATAAAATCTGTCACTACCTCCATTTCTTCCCCATCTATTTGTCAGGAATTGAGAGGGCTGGATGCCTTACCATTTCTGATTGGCTGAGAGAAGTAGAGATGCTATATCTCACCATACTTTTCAAGGTTTCTTTCTCTGTACTTATATACATGTTACACAATTCTATTTTCTATGCAGTGATATTTGTGCAAATGAGTGAGAAAAAGTAATGCATAAAAATTAAGAAATGAGATTATAAAACAAAAATATAGCTAAAACTAGTTTACACCAACACAGGTCAGTGTACTTATCCATAATTTCCTATTCCTAAAGCAGAGGAATAAGTAGACTACAACAGAGGTCCCCAACCTTTTGGGCACCAGGCACCGGTTCCACAGAGAAAGTACCAGAGAGTGCGTGGTTTTGTGTGCTGCCTGCATCCCACAAATGGGGTTTTGCTTGTTTGTGCCTACCGCTTGCTGGCATGCTATGGCCCAGTACCGGTCCATGGACTCGGGGTTGGGAACCCCTGGACTACAGCATTAAATATTGCTGCTGAGTTATTGTCAGGTACTCTTATTTTAAGTACTCTGCATATTGAATTATATTTGTTCTCATATTGTGCAACTATAAAGATCTACAAAGAAGGTAGGAAGTAGGAATACTGTATCCAGGTTAGAACAAAATATATTAGAATTGAAAAAAAATCAAGAATAAGTTTTCTTTTGTATCTTGCTTTTTTATGTGCTAAAGATATCCAGAGGGAAGCACATTATTTTCGATAGGCTTTGCTGTGTCATCTTTGTGAATTATAATCACAAATGACATTCCCAGTAAAATGGACTGATTTCCCCTATATGTTTTTTTTAATGAGGCACATACCAAACAGACATAATTTCAGTGAAGTCATCATTAAGACATAGTTTACGTTGCTCTTAATTCAATCAGTACCAACATGCCAAATTGGTTAAGATCACAACTGGCAAAACTCAGGTTCAAGTTCTATTTGATCAGACAGCTGACATTGTGATTCTGAGTCTATCACATTCTCTTAACATAGACATTGTTTTGCAAGGATAAAATTACAGAAGATTTCTCTGTTGAGCCCTTAAAACATGGTTGTACAACTTCCTTCACTCAAGAGCCTCACTAGGCAATTGAAAAGGGGAAATTAAGGAGTGGGATGAAAGGCTAAAAATATCTACTTTGCACCACACACACACACACACACACACACACACACACACACACCAGTAAGAAAAAGGTCTAAGGTTTTAAGCCTATCCATCAAAAAAGCTGCAGAAGGAATGCTGGCAGGATGTATCTCATCCGAAACTGCACATCCCTGCATTTTATCTAAAGAAAGGCGGTGTATTTATGTAAGAATAACAAATAAATAAATAAAAACCATTACATTGGTACATTATGTGCCTTTGGTTTTGGTATAGAATTTGGTATAAGAAATCAGGGTCAATCAGCAAGTATCAATTGCACGCTAAATTCTACTTGATGAGCTTTGGAAACATTGGCAACAAATAAAGGAGGTAAGACTCTAAGCCCAGAGCATCCCTGGAGTGCAATTCCAAAATAAATATTTATGTAGTGCATTACATCCAAAGTTTCCAAAGCCTTTGAAAGGATTTGAAATAGCAGCTGGACAACTTTTTTAAAAAAAACCCCAGTGCTCAACTTTCTTTATTTTGATTACATGCATTCTTATTATGGCTGTTTTAGGCACTTCAGTAACTTTAGGCAATAAATAAATAATAAGGCTAATACCTTAAATTGGAATTATCATCTGTAAGTTAAATTGGAATTATCATCTGTAAATTTTCACTCCATAATTTGACAGCAAAAGGAACTCAGATTAGTGTATTAAGAACAATGTGTTTTGAAAAAAACAAGCACTTCATGCTTGCTATAAAAATAAATTCTTCTAAACCATTTTTAAAACTGAAGGTTAACTAATTTTAAATAATCAAGTTCTCTGATTTGATTGTTAGATCAATCTCTGTTTTACAGACTGAAGCAAATCTGTGTGATGATTGCTTTCAAACATTCTATTTCTATTCAACTCTTTCCTTCCATCAGCACTGTCACAAGACAGCAGAGTATGCCGGTCTTTGGGGAAAAATCTGCTTCATAACCAGAATGAGTTTTACATGTTTATAGGAAAATGATTAATTGAAGATAGTAACACTAACGATTTGAACAAATTTTGTCAGTGAACCTATTAGGAAGCATTGTCTTTTGAGGCAAAGAGAAACAATACTAACTAGGGAGATTCCATTTTTTAAAAAATGAAATAGACCACAATTGTGAAAACAGACAAGATTTATTTCTTTTTATTGCCATTATTGGTTAAGAGTGTTCCCCTTTATCTGAATAAAATTAACACAGATGGTATTCTAGCAGTAAGAAGTATAATATTACATGATTGGTGACAATAATGATTACAGAGAATTCAGTGCTTCTTCTGGAAATTGCAACTGAACAGTTAGCTAAAACAACTAAATAATTTTCCTCTCATTGATTAATAGGGGTGTCATTAAATCCTCATATTGGGTCACATGAAAGGGACAATGAAGTAGTATGTGTTCAATGGATCCTTTAATTTTATTTTGTTTTTCAATGCTGTCTAGGCCAACATAGTTTTTTCTCTGCCTAATCATGTAAAATTTGCTGTTTTAACTATATTTTAATTGTTTCTCATGTTTCACATGAGTTTTAGAAGGCACAAAGAGTCTTGTTTTATGTCTTAATACTAGTTCTTCAGCAAAACACATTGACATTATTGCCAAGGCATCTATACAGCCTTGTAGAAATCTTTCCTTGAGAGCCACAGATTAAAAACACTAAAGAAATTCCAGCAAATATGCAGTAGAAACATTTCAAAGAATCTATAGGTTCTGAAAAGTGTACAGAAGATTCAGGAGGTTCAAAAATTGGCAACTGAAACTCTTCCCTTGGCACAGAAAATATAATGATAGTGTCAGATAAGCTTGCCTAGGGAGGATATTTAAATACTTGATTAGCTGTTTCCCTTTGAGTACCGGTAAATACTCATTTGGTTGGGAGACAAGGCAAGAACAAGATGATCTCAGGGTCACCTTTCAGGATGCTACAGTATGATTTATTATTATTTTTTGCTTGTTTGCTTTTGGGGGGGGGGGTTGCAACCTGGAACTAAGGAGACATTTCCTGACAGTTAGAACAATTAATCAGTGGAACAACTTGCCTCCAGAAGTTGTGAATGCTCCAATACTGGAAGGAGAGATTGGACAGCTATTTGTTTGAAATGGTATAGGATTTCCTGCCTCAGCGGAGGGTTGGTCTAGAAGACCTCCAAGATGGCTTCAACTCTGATATTCTGATATTTTGGTATTCAAAATCAGTCTAAACCCCCACCCCCAAGTAGCAAATTGTAACATTTTGATTCTGCCTATGGATAGAAGGCAGCATATAAATGATAAAAACAAATGAACAGGAAGAATGCAAAATAAAAATCTATAAGATGAAAAAGAGAAATGAAATTACAGGACAAAAAACTGTTTATGCTGTAAAACCCAATCGAATAAATCTGTTTTGCTCAACCTTGATAAACAGAATGGTGGCTGAAGAATTCTGGAAGTTGAAGTCCATCTTAAAGTCACCAAAACTGAGGAACACTGAAATAAATCAATCCTCACTTGTTTAAGAACATTATGAAAGTCTGTTTGAAATTGGCTTCCTACAGGGAAATATTTCCAAGACAGTTTTTCTTCTAGAGTGAATAGTGTTCTCTGCAGTTAGAATTTTCCCTTGGAAAGCAGAGCTAAATTCTTCTTTTTTTGAAGACTGCAAATCTGATCACCCTCCTCAGTCTTACTACATATATTCTG